TTTATAAATGCATCATTACAATGTTTAGCTAATACACCACCACTTGTTCAATGGCTTTTATGTAATTCTCATTTTCAATGTTGTCGTGTTAAATTAGAAAAACAATTTTGTTTATTTTGTGAAGCTGAACGTATTGTTAAATCAATGCATTCAAAAAATATAAATTCATCATTTACATCAACAGTTGGTGCTGCTAATCCAAATAATATTGTTCGTCGTATAAAAGATATATCAACAACATTTAAAATTGGTCGTCAAGAAGATGCTAGTGAATTTCTTATTTGTTTAATTGATAAAATTGTTGATGCATCATTACGTTCATTACAACCACCAGAACGTTTACGTCCATCATCTGGTACATCATATGAACAATTATGTCATTCACAAACAATATTTCATGATTTATTTGGTCTTGTTTTACGTTCACGTGTTGTATGTTCACGTTGTCGTCATACATCAGATACATTTGAAGTACAATATACATGGATTGTTGGTGTACGTAATCATACAGATTTACGACAATCATTACAACAATTTGTTTGTCGTGAAACATTATCAGGTGAAAATTTATATCGTTGTATTAAATGTAAACAATTAGTACAAGCTATTAAACGATATACATTACATAAAGCATCAAAAATTTTATTAATTAATTTAAAACGTTTTGAGTTTGGTAAAAATTCACATAAATTATCACATCTTGTTCGTTATCCTGAATATTTAAATGTTAGTTCATATATGAGTGAAGAAAATTCAAATGATCAATCATTAAATTACCGTTTATATGCTGTTTTAGTACATGTTGGATCATCTATGCATTCAGGACATTATTTTTCTTATGTACGTTCACCAAATAATCGTTGGTATAAAGCTGATGATACAACAATGACACAATGTGATTTAAATCAAGTTTTAGCACAACATGGTGCATATATTTTATGTTATATTAAAGAAACATCATTAACAAATAATACAACAAATGGTTCATTAACAACGACAACAATACCACCAACAAATATATCAACAACTACAACTAGTAAAATTGTTTATCAAAATGGAAAATTAAATAACAGTGAACAACAATTAACAACAAATAATACAACACTTTTTACACCACGTCAAATACCTGTTCAAAATCTTTCGAAACAAAGTATGAATTATAGTTGTCTTATAGAATGATTTTGTTTTTGT